TCAAGTACAATTTTAATAGATATTTATAGTGACTTCCTGAGTCCGGAGGTTACCAGGAGAGCATCTCTGGTGGCCGAGTAAGTGACAACTCCACACAGTGATTATCATAGTTGATAGTGGAGTCTGTGGCGTCTCCAGGCTGATAGTACATCACCTGTGGCTGACGTTTTATCCTGGCAGGACGTCCCCCGGCAAAGATCTAGGTCTGATTTTGTGGTTACTTTCTTTCTGATGTGTACAATGTGTAGAAAAAGACTGTACTTATAAGGTTGAAGCAGGATGGAGGGGCAGATGTATTTAGATAATTCTGTCATCTGGATCTACAAGACCATGGTCTTCAGAATGGCTAGAAAGTGATCGTTTAGGTTTTCCAGAATGCAGTCCAATTTTTTTTGCAAATTAGAAAGATATTAAGAACTATAATAGCAAGGGGAAGGGGGAGGCACAAACTGAAAGATGACTGCCCCCCTCTCACATACTAATACTTCTATATATCCTCAATCTGTCTTGTGCATTATCCAAAACCCCATCAAGGAATATATACATAGTATAATACGTACAGTTCACAACTAAAATCAGTCCATCTACCAAATTCTTTGCTAGAATTATGAGAATGACAATACATTCAAAGAATTTGAACATTATAACATTGCACAACAGTCACAATTAGCATTCCTAACACATTGTAGCTATATACCAAATATTTGTGACAAGAACCTTTTATGTACCAAATAGAACCATTTCATTAAAAAAAAAGATCCTAAAGAAGGCAGAAGTTGGTAAGTTCCATGAAAAAACAGCTCTGTGCCACACATGCATGCATGCACATATGCATGCAAGCACACACACACACACACACACACACACATGAATCATAGCCATCACAACTAACATAATGTATAACTATCTCACAAAACCATTAAAAAATATTCAATTACAGTTCCACATCTTACGAGAAAAAACTTCTCAAAATACAGTCACAATACTGCGTCATCCAAGCCAGTCAACTGTACTGAATCTTTTCTTCGTTGTTTATACTTCATAAAAAAGCACACGCTGTCTGCCTTCTTCTGGTGTCGCGGCCAATCAGCAACTTAACACTCAATGTGAAATCCGCCACAAATCAATGTTTTCAGTTATCATAGCTAATTATGTGTCTCAGTTTGTTGTTGGCCCTGAGTGCCTAAAACAACAACCCTTGGCGGCGGCGGTTTGTGGTGTGGTGTGATTGTTGTGCAGGCGATGGCAAGTTAAAGTCAACTTTTGATTTTGGAAACAGAATCAGGAACCCCAAGGCCATTTGGCAACCAGGGTGTTCCAGTTTAGTTTTTCCTCTTTTTTTTCAGAAGACAATGGCTCCATGCTGCCCAACTAGCCTTCAAGTGTTCGTACTATACTTAACTGAAAGGTATTACTATAACTTTTAGTCCTTCTTTTAAAACTGGAATTCTTTTGAATCTTGTTGGATTATTTAGATTTTAGTTTTTGAACTTCACCTGAAAATATTACATACTGTATTACAATATGTAAAACAAAACCATTATCATCCAAGACCAGCAATTACATCAAAACGGTCAGCCTTAATATGGGTTTTATATGAAAAGTGATTTTCATATATGAGCTAAGCATTTATTGATGCTACTGAGAGGCCTGTCACTAGTTCTTCATTTCAGGAAGTGCAAAAATGGTAAGCGCACACAGACTCCTTCATTTTGTTTGTTTTTTTTCCCAATTTTAAATGCCATATCAAAACTACTTTTACTCGACAGCAAGTTCTTGAAATCATTTCAGATGAAGGAGTATTCTGATTATATAACTTACCTAACACAATGTATTGTTTAAAAAATTGAACCCTCATATCCAGTAAAATAGTTCTCACATTCCTGAATTGCGTGTGCAGCACTGTTGTTTTAAATTCCCCACATTAACCTTTAAAATATTTTTTAGTTTTGTCTCTTCAGGCTACAAGATGTACAGTTCACTTTCTTTTTATGTACAGACACAGATGTGTCTGTACATATTGCCATCACCTGCGTCTGTCGTTGCCGTCGCCGTCGCCGGCGCCGTGCACTTTCCTTGTAAACACGATAAGTGGAGGGCAGTTTTACTTTTTGGCTTTATATTTACAGAGCTGATGAATATTCATAAAACGCAAGTCAAGTTCGAAAATCAGAATGATCGGGCCATTATTGTATAAGTTATGCTGTTTTTTTCACTTTTCAGCGTATATGCAACCCTGTAAACACATTTTAAGGAAAACCGTTAGGCCTGTTGTCATGAAACTCACAGGAATAATCAATTTTACTAAAACACAGGTCAAGTTCGAAAATCGGCTTGATCGGGCCACTATTTTAGTAGTTATGCTGTTTTTTTATGTACAGACACAGATGTGTCTGTACATATTGCCATCACCTGCGTCTGTCGTCGCCGATGGCGATGCCGTCGCCGTGCACTTTCCTTGTAAACACGATAAGTGGAAGGCAGTTTTACTTTTTGGCTGTATATTTACAGAGCTGATGAATATTCATAAAATGCAGGTCAAGTTCGAAAATCGGCATGATCGGGCCACTATTTAAG